TCCGCGCCCCCGCTGCTCCTTCGCAGCTGCAGCCGGGGAGCTCCCAGCACACACACACGGCTTTTATCCTGCATTTCCTCACAGGAAAAGCGGCAGCTACAGCCCGCAGCAGGTGCACGCGTTGTCCCTGAAGCAGCAATGCTGGCCTTAAGCGAGGCCTGCTGCAATTGGAAATAGAACTTCCAGGCGCCGCGTTTAAGAAAACGGTGTTATTTTCAACTTTACGGTTAACCATGAGCCGCAATCCCGACCTGGGCTCCAGCGAGGCTTGCTGCCGAGCAAAACGACGGCACGAAACGACTTTCTTCTTCCTCTGCGCAGTAAGGATGCGGGAATCTGCAAGCGGGGCGGCCAGCCTCCAACACAGCCTAGATGGGGGAAAGAAGCAGAGCCGCAGATTTCAGTTTTAAGAAGCTTTAGGCAAGTTCTGAAGTATTAGGTTGTATATTGCAAACCCCTAACACGGCCCAGTTTAATGGGATTTCAAATCCTCAGTGCAGGACCATGCATAAAACAGTTTTATCGTGCTCAATATGAAACTTCTAATTATATTCATGAATAATGACAGAAAAGGGAAAACGCTTGGTAAATCCATTGAGGTACATTTTCTTCTGGCCCCGACCCCCCGGAAAGCAGTAGGTGTGTTTTATTTACGCGAGTAGCTCCCTTGCGTAAGGGTAAGGGGATACAACACCCAACTCTGCCCCTCTCGTTTGTGTAATAAGCACTTGCGTTCCAAAAGCGCTACCTGCAAAGCGGAGCTGCCACTCCACCACACTCACGTGCGTGCTTAACGTTATACAAGGGGATCAAGCAAGGTGTAAATTTAAGTACACGCACAACCATTTGCTGGATCACAGCCTAACCTGTGACTCCGTGGATGAGAGGAACAGACCGGAGCCCTTAATTCTGCCTGGGGACAGAGGCCTGAAATGAATTCAGCCGTGCCAGCCTAGAGCAGCGGGGTAAGCTGCTTACTGCCGAAATTCAACCAACTTCCAAACGGTCACAGAAATAATTGTCATTAGAACGTGTCTACATTAGTGGGAAGTGGAGGAGGATCCTCAGATCGGCCCTTCTTTGTAGAGAAGCCGTGTTTGCCTCCACGCCGAGATGCTGTTTGCAAGATCAAAGCTACTCCTGCATCAAGAAGGTGGGAAGACTCTAAGTCCGCCTCAGTGAAGAAGAAATCAGAATCGCCAGTATTCGGTGACCACGGAGGGAAGCAGGTGTGACAGAAATGCCACCAATGCCCTGTTAAGGAAAACTAGAGCGCAAACAGCACCCCATGTCCCGTAGTGCTCGGCTTCTTACTGGGAGTTGTTAAAAACCAAGCAGGCAGAAGCCTTCCCAGGTGCCTCTCCCCTTCCTGCGCAGGCAGCGCAGCTGGCGGCTGCATGAGCAGCTCCCAGGTCTGTTCTTTGGGCGGCTGATGAGATTTGGCAAGTACCTCTTCAGGATGGCGGCAAGATGACAGCAACCGGTGTTGAGTGCTCTCTGCACCTCCCAGCATCGGGCTGCTAGCGAGCGCGCTGGTGCTCTGCTCGCCGAGCGAACGGTTTCGAAGGCGGCCCTTCCTCCTCCACTTGGAGAGCACAAAGGCATTCGGCTGCAAGGAAAAGCAGAGACAAAAAGCCCAACGGTTGTAACTGGGCACAAGTGCGGACACCAGGGTAAAGGGCACCTGGCAGCAAACCACAGATGATTTGATTTCCTGGCAGGCAGGCTTGCGAGCAGAGATGGGCAACTTGGTCTTGGAAATACAACCGGCAACGTATTTGGGGAAAAAAGGAAAGCCACCCCGAATCCTGACTGTTTGTGCCTGCAGTCAGAGCACGGCCACACAGCCAGCTCACTTTGGGAGGGAGGAAACGGGATGAAAACCTCTTAAAAATGATCACTCGTACAAGCAGGTGCTGCTGGCACAGCCCTGTCCCTAGCTAACATGCTCTCTGCCTCGATGACAGTGCCATTCCACATTCATGGCAGCAACTAGGAATGGGCAGCAGCAGCTGCTGCTGCCGCCAGTTTGCTGCAAAACAACTAAACACCAGCATCTTCCATTTTTCAAAGCGTTCATCCTCGGGCGAGTTGAAAGCCTGTGTCGCTATTCTTACCGAAAGGGGAGATTTGCAAGAAAAAAACCAGTCGTCTTCAGATCTCTGAAGGATTTACAATGGTATCAAAGAGTTTTGCTCTTCTTTTAATGGAGAAACCACCTACAAGGCATATGTTTTTTGACACGCTCCGAAACGGTCACCGGAAAGCGCTCTTACCATAAATGCTTTCTTATTAACAGAAATATGTGCTGGAAGTTTAATTACAGAAACTATCAATGCAACAGGAGATAAACAATTTGCTTTTGAAGAGAATGAATTTATTTGGAGATCTACATCACACAGGCAGGCTGCTGGAGATCCAAGTGATGCCTGACCTCAATATCGTTAAATCATGCTCCGGGGAGCTCTCTTGGATTTTAAATACTTTTTTCAAGAACAAACTTCCTTCTTCTGAAATAAAGCCATGCTTAAACATCGGTGATTCCTCAAAAGCCACCTGCACCAGTTTTTCTAGTTGTTTTCTTGGAAAACAAACAGGTGACAGACATCAAACAGGCAACTTTGCAACATTTTGGTTACCAACAGGGAAAGGAGGTGGAAGGATGCTGGTTCCTCCCGAAGGGAGGGCAGGCAGTAAGTGTAGGAAAAACTGGGAAATGCCATGGCTCCCAGCTGCAATGTGCTTTTGAGGAGTCGTGAGGCACCCCCGCCTGGAGTTCCCAGGTTCCTGTTAAAAATTCCTGTCCTATAAAAACACGTTTCACCGATGAGCGGACCCGCTGCGGCAGCTGTGTTGCCACTTCAGAAGGTCAGCTGCCCAGACGTCGCGTAGTAGCCAGAGGCGTCCGAGGAGAACCTCTGGGACAGACGCACCGAGTCCAGCTGCACCTCTCCGAAGTAGAAGTTCTCGAAGAGCTGAAAGAGAGGAGAAAAAACATTTGAGGGGCACCTAGAAAAATGCAGCCTGCAGCTGGGCCACGGATCTCTCGCAAGAGCCAGCCCTACAACAAGCCTCTACTCACAGACTTGTTTTGCCTTTAATGAAACTATTCTTTAAATTATTTTTCCCCCTAGAGACTGCACCTAGCCTTTAAAGCAAATGGTATGAAATGAACACCTCTTTTTATCTACAGCAGCGGTTGCTCAAACCTTCCCTACCTTGCTTTCTGACCGTGTCTCATTTAGGGAACTTGGGGAGGCTATTCACCACCCTGAAGGCCACCACCTTGGGGTAGCTCTTGAGGTCGCAAGCTCTGCAGGAGCAAGGATTGAGGCCAGGACGTTTTTACCAATCCAGGCCACAGGATGTACGACTTACAGTTACAGCTCAGTCCTAATTCAAACTAGCAGGCTAGAGGCACAAGGCTCTTCATCCCAGCACTGACCCCGCTTTGTTCAACAAATCCTTCTTTGTTCGGCAGAGACTTGAGTGCAAATTAATGAAAGCAAGCCAACTCTGGGACCCGGAGGGCGCGTCTCTGCTGATTAATCCAATCGATGAAGCAGACCAAAAAAATGGCATCAGAATTTCTTATAGAGAAATTCAGCAATATTGCTGGAAAGGCATCGTGTCCAAGCGTAAAGTGCTCCTCCCGTTCCATTAAGATGCAGGAAATTGCTCTACCTGGAAACATCAGTCATGCCTTAGGAAAAACTCTTCAGTGGAGATGCTAATTTCAAAACTCCGCTTAACTTAACGGAGCACTGTGAGTCACTGAGGGCCTGAGCAGTGACATCTCCCCACCATGGAGATCTCCGAAATGTCCATTCCATCTGTCTCCTATTGAATTTTCTATCTGTCCCTGCAGGCATTGGCTCAAGACAGTTGCACACCCCTTCCTGCTATTACAGAAGGCACATTCCAAACGCTAAGGGCCAGCGAAAGCCCGTGCGTTAATTGCAACACGTGCTCCTAGAGCCAATGCTGCATCAATTCCTCCATACAGCGAATGATCGAAACCCCAAATACCTAGTTAGCATCTGAAAGGCTGCACTTCTCCTCCTCCAAAAAGGCATTTGGCTCTGCCTAACACTGATTTGGGCAGGACTGCTCTTTTGTTGGGTCTCTCAAGGGTATTCTACTTTGCAAATACCCCTTTTTGCAAGGGGACCAGCTAGGTTGCTTTCAGGACAATTCCTGGTTTCGCTGTCACTCCTCCACAAAGGAAAAGTGCCTTAGGGAAAGTGATTCCCTGCCCATCTTCAGGGCAGAGCAAGCAGGGCTTCGGGCAGGGAGCACCACCGAGGTATGCAGGCCGCAGACCGGACGCCAGGCACCGTGATGAATCCAGCCCCTGGTCTGGACTGCCAGCTCATCCAGACAACTCTCCACTCAGGATCTGGCTGAGACCAGCAATTCCCTATCGACACACGACAGTCAGAACGGCATCTCTGAAGAGAAGGGGTATTTAGGCGTGCCGAGCCAGCTCTCAGCGACTGCTAAGCCCCTGCTTGGGTTTGAAACGGCTGCAGCTGCAGTCAGATGTGCTGCAGAGTTCTTGCTGCCAGCAGCCCACCTGCCAGAGACCACCTCCTCCTCCCTGGACCTGCCTGCGTGGCAGCATGGGCAGTCGACCCTCAAGCTGCTTCTGCAAAAAGCATCTGGGTTAGCACAAACGCCGTGAAGAACTGGGTTTCTCTGCACCAGACCATTTAGTCACTGTGCCTGCCCAGGAGAGGTGGTGGGCAGCCTCCAGCCCACCTGCACCTCATCCCGCCTTTGAGGTGACACTTGTCCCTTAAGACCCTGCCACAAGGACTTGCTTTGCACAAGGCCCAAAGTAATTCACTGCTAATCACTCAGACTCATATTAAGCTGCAACTTGCTGCCAGTTCTTCCGAGCGTGTACTCAGCAGGAGCCAGGCGCCCCACCAGAGGGGTCACGCAGGTCCCCGTCCCAGCAAGAGGCCCCACCGCAGCAGCCTGGCTTCAAGGGACACTGTGTGTGCGGCTCCATGTGGCTGCTGCCCTAAAGCGGGGCACCCTGTTGTAAAGAAGTTGTGCTAAGGGAGTGTCTCCAACAGGGAGAGGAGGAAAAGAGAGAAGAGAAATGACTACAGCCATACAAACTCCATTTTATACAATTAAAGATTTATACAATTAAAGATTAATTATGTTCCCAAAAGCCTACGTAGTTCATGTTAGAGGACTTAGGATAAAATGTCTCATTAATAAGAGATAGTAGTAAAAAGGGGTTGGTCTCTTTTCTCTTTTTGTTTTGGCTGATCTGAGAAGGAAGGATGATTTCCAGCTCTCCAGGGCTTGCTGCACTGCTTGCCACCAGCGTGCCCACTCACCCCAAACCTTAACACCCGTCTCCGTCAAAACGGTCGTTCGTATCGACACTCCTTTCCTTCACAGAGCACTCTCCACTCCGGAAAAACGGAAATCATTTCTCTCCATTCCTAACAGAGGGAGCGGTAGGTGCGCAGGTAAGCAAGGAGATACTAGGATTTGAAAAGGATTTTTTTTTAAAAGAGAAGGGGGCAAGACACATTTATTTCTGTAGAGTGAAGTCTTTGCAAACATGAAGAAAACAAACGAAATGCTAGGATGTGCCGGTCCCATCAGCAGCCCTGGAAGTCAAACCCTTACACAAAACAGCCAAAGGAAGAGTCTTTCAAATACTTGTTTATATTATCTCTGCACACCATAACCTGTTTTTCTTACAAAACATATGTACTTCAAAGCAAAAATTAGTTAAAGCGACAAACCCTCCCCCCAGCCCCTCTTGCCTCGCACAGCCTCAGGCACATCGGACCAGAAAGACAATCGGAAAGTCCCAGAAGACACGGCCCAGGCCAAGGGCCCTCCATTTGTACACTGCTAAAAGTGAAGCAAAACCCTTGTACCAAAGCACTTTGTATTCCCTTGGCTTTTTTAAGACCTACCACCTCTCGTGTGTCCGAGCGTGTGTGTGTTTCCCAGGGAGAACGCTGCTAGAACTATTGATTTTTGGTAATGTAGCTGTACTTTCTGAGAGTAAACATGCTACAAGATTTAGAGGACAACCACAGACATTTTTTTCTGCTCTCGTTTCAAGCCAGCTTCTCACCGATGCTTCTTTGCTCCCTGAGGCTTCCCACGACAGAAGCCACCGGACGCCAGGCGTGGAGATCGCAGCCAAGCCACGGTACGGCCGAGATCTGCCTCGGGCAGTGGGGAGGAAGGCCCCTCAAACATCATGCTCTGAGACCCCAAAACACTGGGAGCCGGCTTCCTGTCACAAAAGCATTCTGCGCTCGAGTCCCCGGGGGCTCGGGAAGAGATTTCAGAAGGCCAAGCCTCTGCCTTCGACTTTCGCTTCTATTTATCTTGGGGAGAAGCCAAGCGGAGCCGAGAAAGATATTTATATCTCCCCCCTCTCCCCAGCCACCACGGAAACGCTCCGGTTTTGGAGGAGGCCTGTAGCACAGCTGATGAAATGCCTCCTATAAAAGCATTTTAGCATTTTTTATTGCGGGCGAGGAAAGAAGATACCTGGAGGTTGTTACGCTTCATGCCCAAATGCTGATAACCCCAAGACTTGCCTAGTCCCCCTCCTGTCCCTTCCCATGGGTGCCAAGGGCCCACCTTTCCGCAAAAAGGCTGCAGGGGGCACGAGGAGGCGCGGATCAGGAGCAGCTAGGAGGGAGGCGGGGGGAGGAAAAACGCAATCACCCGCACGGTTACCGAAAGCCGTGTCATTTGATTGGAGTGGTACGTGAGGCTCAGCAAAAGCGCAGTAATTCTATAAATCCAAACATGCTGAAGGATTTACGTCCTTGCTGCCTAAAGAATAAATAAGAGGTTGGGGGTTGGGATTTTTTTTTAAATATTATAAATGAAAATGAACCTGATGGAGGTAAAGGTCAGCTTATGAAGTCAACACCATGCACGCCGTGCAAGCTACTAACTCCCATCAAGGGAATAGCACTTACCGGACTAAGTGCCCTCTGTCTCCCTGCTGCCTTCCCAAATTAAATTAGAACCGAATAAGGAAAGAGCATTGTTAACTTTTAACCCCAGACCCAGCACCTCTCAGCAAACGTGCCAGAGATGTGGCCTGCCTTTCAAACCACAGCCAAAGGCTCAGCGAGGATGCCTAGAAGGACACGGCGTCTCCCACGGGGAGGAAGCGGGTGCCTAGAGAGCGGCACAGCATCCTCCTGGGAGCAGCATCCCGGGACCTGCAGGGGATGGCAGGGATGGCAGCCACGCCGCCCTCCCCGAAAGCCACGAGCCCTTGAGAGAGGGAGCGTACTGGTCCATGGATAACCCATATTTCACATGTCAGCCTGCAAACTACCGTAAGCCAACGTGTGCAAGCGCTCCTCCTTCTCCCTCCGCCTTCTGGAGGGCCGGGTCCAAGGACACAACTGCGCAGGTAACAATGAAAGGTGGGCAGCCCTGCGGTAACTCCCAGAAAGCAAGCTTTTCTCCATTTCTCCCCCAAAGTCACTTATTCTGAGCCAGCAAAAGCCAGCAGCATGCCTGTCATTTTTAACACCCCAATTTCTCTCATTTAAGACAATTCCGTTCAGATGTTGGAAACTCTTCTTCCTCCGAGGTCCGTTCCCCTCTATTACCCACAAATTACACAGCAGGGCTCCCTTGGGGTGCAACAATCATTTTCTGAAGGAAGACAGAGGCTGAAGACTTGTTTTGGGAAAGAAAGAATCACACATCAAACTGCTCGCTTCTTGCAAACCTGAGCCAAAAACGCTAGTACAAATGTCAGCCCCCAAACCACAACAACTTCCTTATCAAAGGCAGAGCAACATATCAAAGCCAGGATGTCTCTTTTCTGCATTTTTCCCCCTTTTGCCTAAGCCTGTAAAGTAGGTTTTACCAAAACACTGTAGAAACAAATGCAAAGGAAGACGATTCCTCGATGAAGCAGTTAAAACCTGTGTCTAAATGGTGTTGTGTTCCC